ATTTCTTTTGTTAAACTCTCTGTTTTAATAAATAACTTTAAATTACCAAAACCATCTGGTTTATGTTGCTTCCCTTTCCCCTTCCGAGCCGGGTCGTAACACCAGTGACAAGCCTGGATCCGAGAATCAGATTTAATTATTTTTATGTCTCTGTATGAGAAGAAGAAAGACATGTTTCTGACTATCCCACCTAATAAATAACATTTAGCTGGATTTGTTGAGCAATGGATGCACATCACATTCTGATGAGAAATAAAATATTTTTTTGAGAGAAAAATGAGACGGAAAGGAATAAAAGAATGAGGAGGCATTAACAGCAAAAACTAGAACACATTGTTCTTTATTATGAGAATAGCAGAACAGACACTACAGAGCAGCAGAATATTTAATTTTATCAGAGCTGATAGTTTATGATGATGATGTTCATTTATCTGTTGCACTGATCAGTCCTGCAGCAAGAGGCAGATGAAATCCCTGGATGATTCATTATCATGCACTCATTTGATGTCATGCAACCCTTGAAGTAGCTGGGACCTGTGAAAACACGGAAAAGGACAGGATGGTACAGAAAGTACTGTTTTCTTCGTCTTATTATTATTATTAGTAGTAGGAGTCACTGTTCACTTTATTGTGACCACCTCCTGTTAATGCTGCTCCAGCTGAGTGAAGACTAAAGCACTTACGAGATCCAGCATAAATGATGACGCTGGCACAGACATTGTTTGAACCGTAGCAGGTTTCCACAGGGCTTGAGCAGTGCTTCAGGCCTCCACAGTTACACTTCAAGCCTTCACCTGGAAAAAAAGAAATAGCTTTTCAACATCCTAATCAAACTATCACTGCAATTTCATTTTAATGTAGATAAAATAGACTGCAGGTTGCAGGTCAACTCACTCTGGCTGACAGCAAACAATACAAACAGAGCAAGAATCACAGTCTTCATGTTTTCACAATGTCACGTCTCTGCACAGAAGCCTCTGTATAAGAAAAGATGGGAAAGTGTGAGAAGATCAGACACCGATTAAATGTAAGAACAATTTAATCCACATATGCAAAACCTCAAACATATCCCACCTGAATGAATGTGATTGTCCTTGTGGAGAGTTGATACTCAGGCTTCTTTTTTATCCTCTTTTGTTGTGCAATCCTTCCTTTATTGTTGCATAGTCAGTGTATTTCAAACTTTTGAAATTGTCATCTGGGTTTTTCTCACAGAGTGACTCATCAAGGACAGTCATGGATGCTGGGAAAAAACACTCTTACACCCCTACAGGACACACACTGTACCGTAGGTAGATCATTAACCCTTCAGATAACACCATAGCCACTCAAACAAGACATATTAAGAATACTAATAATGTTATTGTAAAATGTAAATGATAATAACCTAGTGAAGCAGAGATTTGAAAATCTGATGTAATATTGAGATGTTTTCCCCATTGTTTTGTTTTGTTTTCCACAAGATTTCCTTGATAGTTAAATAAACTGTCAGTTCTTTGACGTGTTTCTTGCTAAATCAAATGTTGTCATAATCATCAAACCACCATAAACAGAAAACAGGACTTTATTTTTTTAGAGGCTGTACTTGATGTGCCTGTTTTCTGACAGGAAGATGTGTTGTTGACACAAGAGACTTGTTGAAACTGAGCCAAGGGACATGGAACTCAAAATAAACATGAATCATGAATGTTTTTTGAGAAGAGTGTACATCTTTGTGTACTTAAGGCCAACATGAAAAAAGAAAAGCAAAATAGCTTGAATAAAATGTACATAGAAATATAAAGAGCTGAATACATGCAACAATATTTTGAGAATGGGTTTCAGATCATGCACAACCACCTGTCAAACACAAAGTCTAACCTTGATGAATGTACAATACAGAAATAGGTCGTTAAGTCCAGTTTTTCTGAAGCTTTAACACAAAGTTCCTAAGCTTTAATCGGAGTTGGATATTCATTATTTTACATTTAAACTGGATTTCTGACTTTGATGAGATGTTCTATTACAACTAAGCAGTCATTTATAGAACATGTTACTCTATTCTGTGTTTCTTTTCCAGAAAATAAAAAATGACCTGTCTGCCTTACAAATACAGTATATGTGTACACAATCAACAGGTTGTCATGTAGGATGCTTATACATTGATTTGAAAACCTTTTCCTTAGGAAAAAGAATAAACAATTGTACCATGCAAGGAGGTAACTGGTACTATCAACTGCAAATTGCTCTGAGGATGTTGGAAAAGATATACAGTATATACTGGAAGCCACTGTCGTGGAACTTTATTTATTGGTGGCCATGGCCTTCATGTTGGAGTTGGTAGGCTGAAGCTAGGTTAAAAGGATATTCCAGTGTTGGGGGCTGTGGGAGGGCTGGATACATGGGCCTGGAGGAGGTGTATTATGTAGTGCAGACCCTCAGATACTTCCTGGTTAAATTTGTCCACCTGAGTAGAGAGTGCACACAGTTTAGTTGTGTAATTAAAAGACTTGGTTATTACAATTAACAAACAGAATAAATAAAAAAACATTTCTGTCCAATGAAGCACACCCAGCACAGAGGGACAAATAAAACAGCTTCTATCTTTAAGGTTTAATCTCTGACACAAATAGGTATGAAAGTAGACAGAAACTGTAAACAAGGGAGCGAAACAAGAGGCAAAGGGGGCCAGAGAAGGTCCAAAAGCAGAGCTAAGTTGTCATGAATATTTTTTTTTACTTATCAGATTGTCGAGTCAGCACTCCCGATTATCCTTTGCATTGCAGAGAGTGCCCTGCTCAATAAATTAATATCGACGCCAGACAGCACCTACCTGGGCCCATCTGGATCCCCTCACATTCAAATTAATAGTGCAGGAACAGATGCGTGGCAGAAAATTAGTCTACCTGATCTAACTGGATTTTTTTTTCCTGTAGATGTACAAACATGGCTGATTATTGAATGAGAATGCCAGAAATGCATCTATGAAAGAAGCATTCAGTTGATTTTGTTTGTCTGCGCTGAAAACAGGAACTCAAACTTTAATGTCGAAATAGCACACAGGTTGTATTTTTCAGTTGATTAATTATTCCTGTATTTCATTTTCAATCTCTCTGAAATACTTAACAGACAGGAGCCAGAAGGAATGACGAATAGGACACAGAGCTGATTCTACATTATATTTGGTGCAATCTGTCTTAATTTGGGTTGAGGGGCTGTACCTTACCTTTTGGTTGAGTTGAATGAAGTTCTGTCGCAGCTCCTCCGTCTCCAGCAGCAGAGTGGCATTATACTGTGTGGAGTCTGGAGAAATGAGGAGGAGAAAACATTAGCACAAACAGTAGCTGACTTAGTAACACACAACTCAAGGACACCACTGAGAGGATTTATCAATATTAATATGAAACATAAAATGACTGACGCTCAGGTTTGACCTCTGCAGTCCCTTAACATGTTCTCTGACTATTCAGACACCTAGCTGTCATTTCACTCCTGTGCACTTTCATATTTCCCCAGAAGGAGGCAGCGCAGCATTGTTGTATCCACTATTTCAACTCTTGAGTTTACCTCCAGCCATCTGGCACCCAGGTTACTCTCGCAGCTGGTGGCAGTTTGGCCTACCTTGGGTGGTGCCTCCTGTACTGGCCTTTGGCCCGCTGTGCTCCACGTTGAAATGGAACGTGTGTCCATTGTCTTCCATGCCGTCTACAACCCTGGCGGGGCGGGGTGAAGAGGAGGGAAGCTGGAGTAATTAATGTTATGTAAATGTAACAGTGGATTATTTTATCATCTGAGGGCAGAGGCCCATGTGGGTTTGAACATGAGGAGAAGAGCCTAGTCTGGAGGGGTTGACACGCGTGTGTGTGTGGTGTATTTTTAATGTAGACATTGTATTTGATAATAGATTTCACGCTACCTGGGATTAAGATCTGGGTTTTTTTTTGATGATAGCTGAGGTAATGAGCTCTGCCCGTGAAGGCCATGACTGAGGTTTTGGAAACCACCATGCTGCAACTGCAGATCATCCCCCTGGAGGTTTCCCAGGGGGGTAGGGCAAACAGTGCTGCTGGAGCTGGGCAGCAGGAGGCTGCGGCGGGAGCAGGTCTCTGGACAGAGGAGGAAGGAGTCATCAGGGTCGTCCCCCTTTGTTTCCAAAGAGAGCCTGGGTTCCTACAACACAGCAAATACAATAAGCACCATTAAAAAGTTTCACTAATGAAGGGTGCACTAATCCTCAAATTTTTTAATGTTAAGGGAAATACTGGAATAATGATTACATCAATACTGAAAGATTTTTTAAATATTGGAATCATGTTGGAAAACAAATTTTAAATGCCACTAATAATACCTTTCTTCCATAACATTTTATGAGTAATCTATTTATTTTAAAAGCTGTTGATCAAGAGCAATTATTGCATCATTTAATTTACAGCTGACAGTATTTAAATTATATTACTTTAATACTGTCACAAATATTTTATGCTCTAACCACAAGCTGCCTGCGTGCTTGTGAGTAAAAACAACTGGTTTTATATTAAATTTAACTTTTCATATCCGACCAAGAAAGCACTGTAAACAGTATTTTAACAATAGACAAATAAGGCGGGGCATACAGCATACAGTACATAGTGAGACAAGTGGTCTCAAAGGTTTCCCATTAGGAGAGCTAGTGACCCAGTTAGCGAGCTAACTCCGGGGTCTTAACTGCTCTCTCCAAATGAGTTTCAACCTGTAGGGGAAGTCCTTGCACAAACTCTCCTATGGTAATCACCAGCAATACAGTATGTTCCAGAAAAACAAAGGAGTTTAAATGAAAGATTAGACACAAGCCCCTAAAAACCAAGTTTGTGAAGGAAACCATGTCTTGTGGAAAAATGAATAATACCACCTCTGAAAGAAGAAGGCTGAACTAAACTCACATGGGAAAGCCTGTGGGACCTTGTGAACGGGCTGTGGCCCTGCAGGAACAAAAACAAGCAACAGGGATTACAAAAGACAGCCTCATGTATTTATTCAACTTTTGAACCCCAGCAATTACACCTTTGGAAATTAGAAGTGCCCCTAGAAATTTTCCTGTAAACAAACAATTATGTTTACATTAGGCCTGTCGCGATATGCGATAAATCAATTAATCGCACGATAAATAAAATGAGCTCCATTATTCGGCCGCGATCATTTCCATTTACATGCTTGTTTGTTTTCCTCGTCTCTCTC